TGGTTCCACATGGATAGAGAGCCCAGAACGTGAACCAAGTACCCCTTGAATCAGTTCTCGGATGTGGTACCGGTTCCCCAAGTCCAGAAACTAAAAAAAATGACCTGAAAGCCTGAAATCATGAACTTGTGCACTTAGGCACTGCTATGGTCCATTGGTGACCTTAATCTAAGTTCAAAACCTATCCCAACACAATGCATAATAATGATCTACATGCCATGGTCCCTTATATCAACAATTTAATAGATCTCAACATCATTTTCCATTCAAATAAAAATTAATACAAAGCCTTTACACTTTTGTCCCAAATTTACATCAAAAAGGAGTCTAAGCTCATAATTATGTTACAAGGTCATAACATACAACTTAATACATTTACATTTCAAGATGCTACTTTACAAAAATGGCTCATGTTTACAAAATAGTTGCAAAACACACTTCAAGTCCCCCTTCATGCTTCTGGAGGAATGTCATCCACCACCTCATTTCCGTGACCTGAAAAATGTTAATAATAAGGGGTGAGCAAAATTGCTTAGTAGGTGGTACCTAAGACACACCTCTTGTGACCCCGTGAATTTAAGGAATGAATAGAACAATAGGGAACGGGATCATGCTAGGCCGGGAGAAGATACAATAATTTAATTTCAAATCCAAATGAACAATATGGTGTTATGGAATGCAATGCCGTGTTATGTCGCTCCCCATTTTCAAAATCATCCATCACTTTTCAAACTGTTAATATAACCCGTCCGTTGGTGACTCCGCGGCTACACGAGAGAAGGATTGGTTACTGTCCCTGACCCTTGGTACCTCCGTGGCGTCATTTGGGGCCCAGATAGCTCAACCATGCTAAGGTGATTTCCCTAGTTCTCTCTAGGTTATACTAACACCACGGCCCTTTGGTGACTCCGCGACGACCTGATTTTTCACAAAACCATTTTTATCAAAAATCCCCTTTCTTTCATTTATTTCAAATAAATTTTCCCAATTCTTTGCCCAATGCAATGTATGAATGCATCTTGTTTTTCAATGCTAGGCCCATGGAGGATTATATACTTCACAAATCAAACATTAGCAATATAGCATGCCTTGTAAAGAATTTCAAAGAAAATAAACATCATACTCCCATAACACAACATCTAGCATTACCACACCATAGGCAAATAAGATCATTAACTAAGCATGCTTTTTCATATAATTTTAACTAACACATTGTCACATGCTTCACAAAATTTCTACGGCATAATTCATACTTTCAAGTCATGAAATTTAGCACCAACTGTACAAAGAGCACAAATTAATCATCAATTAAGCATGGTTCATCATCATATATACCAAGCAACACATAGTCACAACTTTGGCACAACATATATACATATAGCATGAAATTTCTACAAAATTAAGCATGTTAAACACAAATTAAGATGATTAATTCACAAAAGGCCCAAGAAAATATGTATTAGAAACCCCTACCCAAGAATTTCAAAAACCCCCAATTTGCCCAATCCAAGCCCTAGAATTCAAAATTCCTAGGGTGCACCAAAACCACTTTTGCTCCGATCAAATCGAAGATCTCAACGCGCTCTTTAATTTGCCGCAAACGGCACCTAAAAACTCCAAAAGATGAAGGAGAAATCAAAGTTTAAAAATTTGAAACCAAAAGAAAAAGAAAAATCTAGAAAGAGAAAGAGAGAGAGAGAGTTTGAGGCCTCAAATGTGGCCTTTTGGCCATTAAAAGTGGTGGTGGGTCCCACCACCAAAATTAATTTCTTTTTTATTTTATTTTCATTTTCTTTTAGACCACACAATTAATAATTCACAACATCATATAATACATTAAATAAAATGATTATGATGCAAATGGACCTAAACGAAAACCCCGTACGCAACAATTCTGGTAGCGGGTCCCCCCAGGGACCGTCCGGTCCGAAAAACTGAAAAATGCCGAAATGGCAACCATTGCATTTCTAGGAGTCCTGAACTCAAAGAAATGCCCCAATCAACTTTCAGACACACCCGGCACACTCCACGGTGTCCGGCACGCAAAACGAGAAAAGACGAAAATGCACTTGTAAAAACAGAAAATTCGGGAAAATGAAAAATGGCAAAAAAAAAAATGGAAACATTACAACTTATGTGCACATTACATATTTAGAATAAAATATACAAGTTTTGACATTGTAAACCAAAAATAACATTTCATGCCAACAATTACATGAATCAAATATTTCAAGTCTACAAAATATCTAAGGCATAATGTGAATCCCAAATCATGATTCTTGTACATCCAAGGTAGACACACTCAAACGGTGAAACACCATGAACGAAAAAGGACCAAAATGAGAAAAAATGAACAGTGGAATAAACAGCGTAAAAAACCGAGTCCCGAGCACAACGATATGTCCTGAACAAGTTGGGCGGCAACCGGAGCCGAAAACCTTAAAATTGGAGAAAACTATCAGAAGGCAATTCTAAGAGTACGCAACTCGACAAAAAGTGAAAATGAATCCCGTATGATGATCTAAGCTCAAAACGAGACATTTTGCAATAACTTTCATTAATTGCACAATGACCTTTACAAAAAAGGATAACTGCTCACACTGGCCAGAATAAAAATATATTTCAAAAGATATTTTTTTAAAAACCCCTGAAATAAAATGTTTTCAAAAGATATTTACGAAAAATACCCTAGGAGAAGAAAATGTTTCTGAAGAATCTTTTCAACCACGCCCTTGCGGGAAAAAGAAACAATCAGCGAGTTTTTCTCCAAAAGTAAAGTTACGCATTTCGAGGAAATCAACTGGAATGAAAATTCGTGAAGTCAAAAATTAACTCCGAATACGAAAAAGTGAGGTTACACGAAAGGAAAACGAAAACGAAAACGAAAACGAAAAAAAGACGAAAAATAAAAAATGTCGAAAAAAGAAAATGTGGAAATGACGTAGTCCTCATAAGGAAGTTGTGAATCATAAGGAAAGAGTCTCGGAAACTATTCCCGAGCACTCGAGACGACACAAAGTGACGAGAAACTGAACTCAAAAAAGAAAAATCAACCGAAAAAAATTATCCGTAAAATTTGAAAAAAAGAAACAAAAGAAAAATGATTAGGTCATTACAGCACCAGTCCCCCTCCCCCTCCCCCGCCGCCCCCTCCTCATCCCTCTCCTTCAAGCAACCACCGCTTTATCATGGAAGATAGCTTTGCAAACAAAAAAACCCATTTTGGTGACAGACCCAGAAACTTTGCAAGGAGATGAACTGCGACAGACGGTGATGAAGCGGCAAGCACTACAGTGAGCAAAGATGAAGATGTCTCAACTAAAATTAGGAGCAATTTTTAGAATTGCACAGATCGATAGAGGTTTATTATTAAATCCCCTGAAGAAGACAGAAAGATGAGGATCAAAGAGACCACTTCTTTCCTCCCAGTTGTACTTGTACCTGAAATTCTGAACCTAATAAACTAGTTGATGAAAATTTATTGAGGATGATGAATATAGAAGCACCCAAATGGTTTCCACTATTTCAAAATTTGACTATTTCGAAATTCAGCTATGTAAAACGTCACCATCAGTAATCATGTGCATGAATTCTTTACAAGAGCCAATTTAGACTGATAAATGATATATATACACACACATCACCATTTTTTTATTCTTTGACAAGATGAATCAAATGAAATTAATTATAACAATTACAAGCATGCTCTCAATATCAAACAATTACATGCATGATCAAATTTGGTATTCTTCGAGCAGTTCACCAATTTTTTTTTTTTTTTTTTTTTTTTTACGGTGCTATCTTTGGCGACGGGGCGGTTGTTGTTTTAAAGCGAGGGATGAGGGAGGGGCGGCGAAGGAGGAGGACGACGGTGGTGCCGACGTTTGGTGGAAAAAGTGGGGCAAATCTTGTCGACTATGGGGTGGTCGGAAGGAGTTTTTGGGATGAACGAAGCTTGGTTGGAAATGGAGTTTGCCAACTATGGCCTTCATTAGAGGGAGGGCATTTTGGGATTTTTGAAATTTTTTTTGGTCAAAATAGTTAATTAGGGGACAAATTGCACCAAGACAAAGAGTATGAGGCTTTGTGCGCAAAAAAAAAAAAAACAATAAGAAATTTTTTGCACCTTTTGAATCTAAGAGAGGTATTTCTTACACTTAATTCTTTTCTTTTATTTTTTTTAACACCATGGGAAGAAAATTATAAAAAATTTACTATTTGACTGTACATAATTTTCTGAATTCTTCACTGACTACAACACTGAAATTTATCCCAGCAGATTGGAGCATTGTCACCACTACATGACCTTTAAAGAAAAAGAAAAAACTCATGCGCACATGTTTTAGATTCCTTGTCGTCGATCTGTGCAAAGTGCTAACGCTAATATTTATTTATTTATTTATTTTTAATGTAAACTAATCCAAGTTGCTTCTTATAAATAGAGCGTTTGTATTCTCCAACCCGCCGTGGGCCCTTTAAAGAAAAAGAAAAAAACTCGTGCACATGTTTCAGATTCCTTCTCGATCTGTGCAAAGTGCTAAAACAACTATATATTGACAGAGACTCCCACCACAACCTACCATATAATTTATGATTTTATTGTAAATTAGATTTTATCAACCTGTGTTGCACGTATAGAAATTATAATTTATTGACACTTGTTGAATCAATATTGATTTTTATTAGATTAATTCATCAGGTATGAAATGAATTATGACTATTTAATAATTTTTTGATAAAAAATAAAATAGGATTTTATCTAAGTCAAGTCAAACCTTTTTAACAACTTTTAAAATAATTTTTTATTAAATTAATCCACCAAATATAAAATGAACCATCCAAAATTTTGAAAAACGGAATGCCCCACTTGCATTGTGGCCCAGTTTCGTCTACTCACTCCTGCTATTTGTCCTGTGGGCATATTGGTAACTTAATTAGATACCAATTTATTGTGACCTACCTCCACAAGGCGTTTACCACCCTAGTAGGGACCACTTGCATCAAGATGATTATTTACTCTGATTATATATATAAAAGAAGGGCGTCCTCATTGCCGGCCAGTTCATGTCTTTAGTTGTATATTCAGTCTCTCTCTCTCTCATTCAAACAATTATAAATTCGTCCAAGTTATGTCTTGTAACTTGGAATATGACTTCTGTTATATAGAATAGCTAGGGTTTATTTATTTATTAATGTAAACTAATCCAAGTTGCTTCTTATAAAAAGAGCGTTTGTATTCTCCAACCCGCCGTGAGCCCGTGTGTTCTCCGTGTCAACCCACCGGGCAAAAGCACATTGAAAGTTCACAAACTCAAGTATGTTCAGTCATCAGTGCAATCCGGATCCTATCTCGTCTCCTAGACTGTCAAATGTACAAGAGAGTCGATAGGAACCTGCACAACTTGAACTTTGGCGGACCATTGACCAATTAAAGTCAAACAGAGAGTGTGTGGGCACCACCACACCAAGAGAGTGATCATTTCCCGCAACGATGTCTGGTAAGCTGAAAACAATTCATGCTTCAAAATTATAATTCTTGGTTTATCGATTATAGAATGCTATCATTCATGAAGCCATTTGCGCAACCAACCTGGGTAGTCAAATGATGAACTACATTCAGGACAACGAGACAAATTTCATTACAAAATCAAATTTATTTTCTTTTTCCCTTTATTCCTTTCTGGTTCTCATTTGACAGAAATAGACCCACAGTTCCAAAGTATTAGGCACCATATCACTTTTGTTGAAAAGGATCGAAAATTCAAAATCTCCTCCCAATCTAATGCTATTTTTGGATTTAATAGATTTTTTAATTTATTGGTTAAAATGGAGAGCTCGTGGCGAGGGATCTCTCTTGAAATCTAGAGAGCTATCTCTTGATAACATTACTTAGATGGAAAATGCTACAATTCTTAATCAAATTTTGTTATCCATTCGTATAACAATCATGAGGATAAACATCTTGAGAAGAGAGAGATTATATTCTTATTACAAAGAGTTGTTAAGACGATTAATTGAAAGAGTCTTGTTCCGGTTCCTCGCTGCTGTCGAGGTTTTCTCTATGGAGAGATCGTCTCGTTTCATCGAGAGTTCTGGTGTTTGCGTTCATTGCGATCCTTTTGGTGGTGGGTGGTTGATTGTTGGTGTGGATCTCTTTCTGAGTTGAGCGTCTGAGTTGTAGGTGATGGGGGGTTTCTTGTCTGTAGATCTGGTGGGTTTTCTGCGCCATACTTGTGTTGGGTGGGCTGATCTGTCTTTGGAGATATGGCGTTGGTTTGTAGTTACCCTAGATTTCGTCTTTCAATTACTAAGTTTATCGTTGTTACGTATTCTATTTTATTTTCCTTTAGGATTTGGTTTTCGGTTGTCTGATGTGGGTGAATCGGTCCTGCGTGCTAGGCTGATGAGGGGGAATAAGGGGGTTTGTGATGTTCTTCTTTGTTGGCTGAATCTGGTATGGATTTGGGTTTGGATAGGGGTGGCAAATGGGCGGGTTGGATCGGATTTGGATTGGGTTGAAAATAGACGGGTCAATATGGGTCAAGACCCATATTTAATTCGTTCAGAACGGGTTAAAAATGGGCAGGGTAAACCCATTATTACCCGTGGACTCATTAATTATTATTTTTTATTTTTTTAAAAAAATTTCACCGAAGCTCCAACACTTCTCTGATACCTAATCTTATCCCTGTTTCCAAAAACAGAAGAAAAGGGAAAACTACAAAAAAAAAAAAAAAAAAAAAAAAAAAAAAAAAAAAAAAAAAACAGATCCAACGGTGTCGAATCAACCATTAGCGTCGGCGAAAACCCGGACGACTCCACAGTACTACTCTGATTACAACTACTCTTCTTGATCATCATCACATCTATCTTCTTACCACCACCGTTGTTAATGTTCCTCACACTCACCTCCTTCGGAACCGAGAAATTAGTCCTCGCTTTGTTGCCGCGAAACTCCCTCGCGGCGACGTCGTACGCCCTCACCGCCTCCTCCGCCGTGTTGAACATCCCCAACCATCGGCTCTTCTTCCCCGGATCTCAAATCTCGGCGGTGCCATACACCCCTGAAATGCACCTCATTCGCGTTGCCGTTAAATTTGTCAAAAAAAAAAAATTTTAAATTTTTTTTTTTTTCGAAAGGTTTTAATTTTTTTTTAATTTTTAATTTTTAAAATTTTTTAATTATTTTTAATTATTTAAAATTTTTAAAATTATTTTTTTTAGAAGAAATTTATAGAGAGATAAACTTAGAGAGAGAGGATTGATGAGAAACAAATATAGAGAGAGGAATGTGAGTGAGATAATTTTAGAAAGAGAAATGAGTTGAGTGTAATATAGAATAAATGTGTGTTGTGTGTTTGTTATGTGATGGGTGAAATATGGGTTGAATATGGTTAACCATATTCAACCCATCCTGACCCTCAACTTAAATGGTTAAAAATTACCTAACCCATCTTAATCCTTAAACTAAATATGGTTCACCCATAACCATTAAAAAACAGACTGATATGGACGGGTTGATGGTTGGTCGTGGATCTGTATGGTTGTTTCTTTAGGGTGCTTCCTTTGTGGGTGCACTTGGCAATGGCAAGTGGATTTCTCGACGCTGTGTGGTTTGCCGGCGTCCGCTGTCCTTGGTGCTTCTGTGGGCGTGATAGGCGAGCTTTGGCTGGGTCGGCTGTGGTGGTTGGCTTCTGTTTTTTGGAGGACGACTTTGTGACGTCATGTATGACGTTTCCTCCAAAAATTTTAATCGATATTGGTTGCGTGTTGTGGGACCCTTTCTTTGAATTTGTTCGATCTTTGTCTAAGGCGGTGTTATATCTAGTGACGTCATGTCTGCCGTGTCCTCAAGATTTTTTCAAATGCTCTTGTTTGGTTGATGTGGGGCCTTTCATTGACTTTACTAATATTTTGTCTAAGTCGGTGCTACAACTATGCTATCGAGGTCTGAGTTTTATTGTGTTGCAACCTTCTCTTGTCTAAATTGGTTTAACGTGTGTGGCTCTGCTGGCTTGGAGTCTTGGGTACGCTTCTGAGAAAGGTCGGAAGCGCAGGCAATCTACCTCGGGTTGTTCTCCACATTGCAGTGTGAGAGAGGAGAAGAAGGTTAAGGCTTTGGTTGTCAATGATGTGGCTTAGCCGGTTGATATGCATGCTGTTAGTGGTGCGGTTGGACTGCGGTCTGAATCCTTTGGAAAGTCTGGGGCTCATTTGGTGGATTTTTATACTTCAGAGTCATCTCAATCTTTTACAACTCAGCTAGTTTTACTTGTGGGTGCTCCTACTTCCACAATTACTAACACCTTTTAGAATTAGTTTGTTGTCAAGACTGCGATATTGACATGGGTGTTAGTTTTGTTTTGCTAGCTTTTTTTTTTTGGGGTTATGTATGTAGTTCTTGTTTAGTTTGTGACGTGTTGGTCCTTGCCTTGTAGATGCCGTATGACTTTGACACTTGTTCTTGCTAGGTTTAAAAAAAAAAAAAAAAAAGGGTTGCTAGACATTATTTACTAGAGTTGCACAAAAAACCAATCATTAAGGGCCTGTTTGGTAATTGAAAACATTTTCTGTTTTTGTTTTCATCCGAAATAGAAACAACGTTTTTATTGTGCGGTGTGTAAATAGTGATTGGAAACATGTTTGTTAACTTAAAATTTGTTACAATATATTTTTAAAACAAAAATATAAAAACTATTGCAAGTTTGAAAAATATAATGCCTAGTTTTAAACAGTCATTTCAGAATTTATCAATAAAAAATTAGATATTATTCATCGTGTTAGTACAGTATAGAAATATGTAAAAACAACAAATTGGTGTTTCAGTTAGAGAAGGCAAAGTTCGACATGACTCGTTAACATGATTCGAACACGACACAAGATAAGTGAATTTGAGTTAATCTTAATCGGGTTTGTGACATAAATATGTCAACACGATTAACCCAATTAAGTAATCGAATTTGGGTCATAGACATGTCAACACGATTAACTCGATTAATTAATCGTGTCGTGTTAGGGTTGAGGGGGTTCAACCCATTTATACTCATTTAGTTATGGACAATTAGGTTATTTTAACATAAATCTTAACAAAAATATGCATTCGCTTCTTAGCTGCCATTTCTTTTCAGTATTCATGTTACGCCTTATGATTTTTAAGTGATTGGAGTTACTTTTTAAGTGATTGGAGTTACTTAAACATTTGCATGTTGGGTACTCGACTATGGGTTGTTCAATGTTTTTCTTCTTACCTTGAATAATTAGGTTATGTAATAACTACTTGTGTATTTTAATTTACTATCTTGTGTATTAGAGACTATTTAGTAATTTGATTGAATTGAAACTTATTACCTCCGTCTCATTTTAATTGTACATCTTTGATATTATAGCCTTATAAGAGGACATACAATTAATGTATTACTCCCTTTCAAATTATTAAATTAATTATTCTTTTAACTTTAAATATATATAATACTAAGTTGAAAGATTTTTGAAAAATTATAAGGGTAATTATGGAAAGATTGAATTTATTTTGTTTGATTTCAAAATGAATACCTAATTTGGGACAACCTAAAAAGGAAAAATGAACTTCTAATATGTGACAGAGGGAGTATATATTTTCTAATATTAATTGTCTGTTCGAGGATTATAAATAATCTACATAATATAATATCTGATTTTAGTAATAGGTAATTAAATAAGCTAAAACGTATAACCCATTTAATAAACCGGTTGTGTTAATGTTGAGGTCTTTGACATGATTATAAAATGGGCTATGTTTGGATTGAGATATTTAGTAGAATACCCTTAAATTGACACGAAACCAATATAATTCGCGAACAGGAATTGTCTTTTGACCTCAGGACACTATTTATGAAGTATTTTGGTATTGTACAAAACAAATCATTATTTACCAAACTTGTTGCGGCCTAAAACAATGTTACAGTACCCGACCCAAAACTACCAAATAGGCCCTAAGTAACAAAAATTGATCAAAACTTCTATCATGGACAAAATTACGATATGACACAAATACAGTCACACATTAAATTTTGAAAAAATAAGACACGTACACGGCATGGGCGTAACTAGAACTAGTATAAATATAAATTTTCATTTCTATATCTATTGAATAAGACAATTATAGAATTTTTATTAATTTATAATTTTGATACTAAATTTATATAAGTTAGAAGATAAAGATATGTTGATATTTAAAAATAAATAAATAAATTATATTGTATATCATATAACTCTCCTATTTATTCATTAATTATAGCTATATTTTTATTTATTATATATTGTGACATGTATTTAATGTTAAATTTTTAAAGAAAAAGAGGTTCAACACTTTGATGCATGTTAATAATAGTATCGGTCATTTGTTTGTTTTATATAAATCAAAGTGTAGGATATATTGGTAAAGTATCCGGAATGTGTTGATCAAGTGTCAAAGATGTGTCGACAAAGTATTTAAGATGTGTTGGCCAAATGTCTAAAA